TTGTAACCGTTCTTCTCAAATTGAAGTCCTGAATTACTGTAAATGCATTAACTATTCGCTGGTTTTAATTTCGCTATTTCCGTTGGTGAGTAAAATTTGCTATCCATGTGAACATGTAGAGTAGCTATACAACTCATTGTTTCTCCGCCAAGCTTGTAAAATTAAACCCCCGCAAAAATTGCTCAAAACATAAAAATAGTGAAATTAAATGTCAGTAAAAATAAATGGTTCTACAGTATTATCCAGAGTCAATAATTCAAAAAGTATTATATGTACAATCAAAGACAAATTGTTAAAATCCTTACACTGTAGGCTTTGCATTTGAAGCAGCATTTTATAAATCTGGCTTTTTTATTAATTATATTATTTTTGTTCAATACTTTCAAAAGTTTTCTTTTCTCATCTTGGATCATAAAGTCAAGAAATGTATTTTTATATTTATGATATAGAAGTTTTTTTTTTTTGATTTATAAAATAGACAAGGTGTAGTGAAATTCATATTTTATGTCATCTTTCTTGCATAATCAAACAGAATATAAAACAACAAATATAAAATATTGTGATGCCTAAACCCTTGACTGTCGACAGTTGATCATACCTAATATTAATCTGTTATTATTATTAAATATTGTGTATAAACATAATAGGTGTGAATATATTGCGAACACTGGGACAGGAAGTATGGTAGGCACGACCGAGTGTTCGGTGCTGCAGTTCACTGTTAAGATTTCCTAACAGATCTGGGTACTTACATAAAAATATGAATAGTCGCGCAGATGTTTATCATTTTATCGTGGCCAATCGTGAAAAGGGTCAGGGGTCATCAGCTACTAGGATCGCCCACGACTTGCGCAAAGTTTGTTTTGACTGTACTATACGCGATCGCGACACGACCACAGCAGTTTTTGATATCATGTCACAAACAAATTTTGACGTGAACAACCAACGCATTCAGGGGGTCATTTAGAATAAATTTGCATGCATTATGTTAATATAATTTATTTCGTGGTGTCAGCATCAACTATGAGTTATTTATATCAACTAGAAACCTGCGGACACTCTCTCGGGACTAAAGTCCCTCGCGTGAAATGGTTCGCATTTCCAATCAAACACCTTCAGCATTCGAATGTCTAGGAAACGCAATTATATAGGCCCAAAGACTGTCAACAGTCTTACTAACCCCCTGTATCTGTGATTTCTTCTTGATAGAATATGTTTATGCCTGCAGAACCGCTGAATTCACCATTTCACGCAGATGATAGTTGATCACATAAACCCCAATCAAGAAACTGATCATTAGGCCCGATTATTCTTGACAATACATATTTATTTTATTATACAAGTATCATATTTTCTTCTTTTCAGATTTGTCATAAATTCTAAATCACCAAAATGAATTTACATACTTACTTGGATCCTGGACTTGTGGACAGTCATGCACATTTGATAAAGTTTGTACCATTGTCATGGAATGTTATGTCCAAGCCACCGTTTTATTTTCTGGATCTTAAGATGTGTCAGATTGCATCATTGGCGTATAATTTCAAATTCGGTGAAGAAAGGTAATGGATCAATACTTTATTTTCACTCGAAATGTTTTTCTTTGTATATTTAATAATTTTCTTTGCATATTTATTAGTTTTATTTGCATATCTACATTTCACTTGCTTATTGGCATTTACAGTTACATCTTTAATAGTTTAATTTGCATATTTAATAGTTGTATTTATATATGCAAGTTTCATAAATGCATGTTTAATAGTTGCATTTGCATATTTAATATTTTCACTTTCATATTTAATAGTTGCACATGTGTATTTATTTGTATCATTTGCATATTTAATGGATAATTTTAAAATTCCCAGGCTGCTACATTATTTAAGTGGTACTTGCAACAGAAAATATCGTGCGATCATATATTATTCCCTTGCATATTTTCACAGTCAAGAATAAAACTGAAGGCAAACATATCAAACATAATTTTGCTGACGCCATAGTGTTCTATTTTACGCCAATGACTTGTGTAGCAGTTCTGCTCATTTTTGATATTTAATTTCCCCAATTCACAAGAAGGCACTGAATAATGATTCTGAAAATGCACACACTCAGTAGTTATCGGATATGAACCCTGAAGATCCGGACAACCTTCAGTATGTGACGCCAAAGTATGTGTCTGTCCTAGTATTTCATGCACTGTGGAGATACACACATATTGTAAATATGATAAAGTACTGTAAAAGGATTAATTATTCACTGAGTTTTATTTTGCTTATTTCAATGCACTAAATTAAAACCCAGTCAGTAAAATTTAGCATAGAACACATTGTCTAAATGATAAAACCGTGAATTTTAAACCCACTGAATATGCCAGAAATGTTAAATCAGCAAAATTTAAACCCAGTGAAAATTAGTCAGTTTACAGTAATATATAGGATGAAATTGCATATTGCAGATGACTTAGAGGTGTATCAATGCCCTTTTCTGACAGGAACGTCAATGCGATACACATGATAACCAAGCCTCAAGACAACCAAAAACATTACTGTTAACCATGGTTGTCATCATCATCTAATGCATTCATACTAGTCAGTAATATTAAAGGACACTTTACATTTTTTTTTCAGCGTTTTGAGTCCCAGATCGGCTAATATAATAGAACAACCATCAAAATGTTTGAAATTGGATTTGTCTCTCAATGACTTATCAGTATTGGACAATGAAAGTTTATTTCCGTTTAAAGAATGCCGACATTTAGATGTGTCATTGAACAGACTCGAACGGTAAGAAATGATTCTTCTCCTCACTATGAATGTAGGTATATGTCACCGTTCATCTCAGTCACCACGGAGTTGCTAGGATACCAGCAATCAGGATTTTTGTGTGTAATCGCTTGTACCTTTGATGAGATCATCATAGATCACAGGTTTATTGCACAGTTTATATTAGTAATTATTTGGTCCAAATTCTGGGATTGTGTAAACCCAAAAATATGCAAAATAAATTTTAAATCCAATGTTTGCTAATTTAAAACTATGCTAAATATGTACCACATACATTTGTAACTAACATTTTTTATTTTTAACATTTTTTATTTTTACACTAACATTTTTAATTATATTCATTGACCCATAATCTGGGATTGTGTAAAATATGCAAATTATTTCAAATCCAATGTTTACTAATTTACTACTATGCTATATATGTACTACAATTCCTACCTACACTTAACATTTTCAATTATAATAATTTTGTTTAATTGCAAATTATTCTTTAAGGAAATGCAAATTAATAAATTCTATAAGCTACTTTTATTTTGCAAGAGTTAAATTTGAGACAGTAAGAATTTTTAGTTGGGAGTTTCACATTGTGAATATTTTATATCGAGTCATGAAAAATTCCCTTGAAGTCATTATGTTCCTGGCCAAAATTTTTTGAGAATTGGTCATATTTTTCGCATTATTCAATAATTTGTTTTTATGAATTTTAAATTATTTTAATAGCTATAGATCTTGATAAACGTTTTATAAATAATTTTTGAAAAAAAGTGACAAAAGTGTTTTTTTGAACCTGATTAAATTACACATTTAAGTAATCTTTCAAGATTTAGCATCTTCAAATATATTTCAGATGACAGCGTTCACACATGCCAAGTTAAGTTTTACAATCACACATTTTAATTTTTCTTCGATTGGTTCTTCAGGTTTACAGGGATTGAAGTCATGACACATCTTGTATTTATCAATTTGTCACATAATTTTATCCGAAAACTAGAAGGTCTAGATAATTGTAAAGATCTAGAAGAGCTGGTATGTACATTATTTAATATCACAAAGGTCAAAGGTCAATTGAATTGTCTAGCTCGGTTTATTTATTATTTTTTTAAATATTTTTGTGCCAGACGAAAGTTACGGACATTGAATGTCCCTGTTGTCTCTCCCAACCTTTTTTTTTATTTGCAAATTGCAAGTGTGTTAGTGCTGGTAGCATCTAGTCTTGATCAGTGCATACCAATATCAAATTTCAGACTCAAAATGAATGAACTTGGAGCACTCAATAATTTACCATCGAGTCATATAATAATTTATTAACTGCCAAGACCTAACACAAACCCCTTCATTGACAAAGTACATTTTCTTCTAGAATCTTGGAATGAATGAACTGAGAACACTTAATGGTTTACACTCAAGTCCTATAATAATTTATTAACTCTATTAATCTGCCAGGACCTAACACAAACCATATCATTGACAAAGTACATTTTCTTTTAGAATCTTGGAATGAATGAACTGAGAACACTTAATGGTTTACCAGCATTAAGAAGCATCACAGTGCTTCATTTAAACAATAACGTGGTAAGTATTGTTTTCCTACTTTTGGTTAGACTACAGAATTAAACTTGCATTCCTTCTTTGTATTATATGCAGAAAACCGTCCACTAATTATTATGTCCACCATGAGAAATAATAAAATCAGTTGTCATGGCAACAAATCCTTAAATATTAAGCGACCCTGCACTTGACATTAAAACAGGCTGTATTTTCTGATCACCAAATCAAATATCATTTGAGTCTGCATGGTTTTAATAATACTTTATTTTAGGAAAAATTCTCCAAATTTGAATTCAGGATTCCTTTGTATATGATTTCTCATGAACTACTAGTATACAAAATGCAAAATCTTATGATACTTACAGGAGACAGTGATTGATTTCTGAAGATCATACAAAGTGGGAATATAGGTTTAATTGATACATGTTCATTTATATTTTGTCTCCTATTCAAATTTAGGAATATGGAGAGCAATGCATTATGGGAGAGAACTTCCCATTGTATCATGGCAAACTATTATCACACTGAAAACACACTCACAATTAAATGTAAATTTTTTTGCAAAAGTTTTAACAATATTAGAATTCATATATCAACATTCAGATATGACTTTTTCATCTCTTGTCACATAGCAAAAATTCAAATTATGAAGTAATAATTTAACCATGGAAACCTGTTAAAGGACTTTTTTCATGACATTTCATGGTGACCCTATTTTTTTCAATCAAAGATTCTGATTGCCATTAACCCATATTATTATACGTCTATCACCGTAACACCATAAGTTACAGCGTGCCGTGATTTTGCGGTATTTTACGGGGTATTTTCACCCTACCATATAAGGAAATGTGAATTCCAAATATGGAATGATTACGTGCGTAAGCATCTTCTAATAATAAAAACAAACATGGCTGCCATCAGGGTTTGGTCGGACTCCACACAAAGAAGTTCGCTGATTCTGTTCTAAACCTTTTGGATTTCAGCATCCCATGATGTATCCTTGGAAGGAAAAGATATATAATAATAAGGTTATTATGAGGATACCTCAAAGTATGCGCTGTACTGTCTTCGTGCACACTTTGAGGTATTCTCGTAATAACCTCATAATAATGAAATGATGAGGAACATGAATATAATATTTTGTTTATAACCAACATGCATATGTTCATGACTATATACACATTTTTTATAGAAAAATCATACTTATATGTTTTATTTACATACTTTTTTTTACTTTACTATTATATATTATTGGCTCAAGTCAAAAATTTTTTAGTTGGAGAAATCTAGATTTGAGAAAAATCTGATATTTACCACGATTTCAACTTTAATGATAATTTGTATTGTTTTTTGTAGTTGGAATCCCTCAATGGTTTACAGGCACTACCAAAACTACAAGAACTTTATGTGCAGAAAAACAGACTAGTAAGTTTTAAGAATTTGAAGGAAACATTCATTACTACATTACACTAGTGGTTTGTGGGATACTGATGGTTTGTATTTTGTTTTTTCTAGCGTGATTTGAAGTCAGTTGCAAGTTCGTTCAATCTGATGATCTTGGATGCCTCTGACAACAAAATATCAGACAGTCATCATACAATTGCTATACTCAGGGGACTGCGAAGACTGACTGAATTACATCTCTATGTAAGTCATTGTTGAGTTATTAAATCACAATGACTGTCATTGGTGTAATGGCCAATCAGAGTGACTGTGTTAAGTCATTGGTGAGATAGCAAATCAGAGTGACTGTGAGTCATTGGTGTGATGGCCAATCAGAGTGACTGTGTTAAGTCATTGTTGAGTTAGCAAATCAGAGTGATGGTGGGGGATTGGTGTAATAGCCAATCAGAGTGACTGTGTTAAGTCATTGGTGAGTTAGCAAATCAGAGTGACTGTGAGTCATTGGTGTAATGGCCAATCAGAGTGACTGTGTTAAGTCATTGTTGAGTTATCAAATCACAGTGACTGTGTTAAGTCATTGGTGAGATAGCCAATCAGAGTGACTGTGTTAAGTCATTGGTGAGATAGCCAATCGGAGTGACTGCGTTAAGTCATTTGTGAGATGGCCAATCAAATTGAATGTGGTGTAAATTATTAGTGAGATGGCCAATCTGGACTATTTTATTTTAAGTCATTGGTAAGATAGCCAATCAAAGCTAATGTGGTGTAAGTCATTAGTGAGATATCCAATCAGTGATACTTCAGTGTAAGTCATTAGTTAAATGGCCAATCAGAATGCCTGTGGTATAAGTCATTGGTAAGATAACCCGAATTAGCATTCCCTGAAATTCCAGCAATGCTTTGATGTTTGCTACCTTTTCCAAATAATATTTGTGTTTCAAAACATCAATTTGTTTCTTGTTACCACACATGATGTCTCAATATGAGTAGACCTATACCCATTTGTGAGTGTTCTGCAAGTTAAAAGTAAACCACAGAGTGTGTTGACACATGTGATTGTTTCTTTAGGGGAATCCAATGCAGAAAGAAAATCATTACAAAGAAAATCTGTTCCATTCAACAACAGTGCAGATATTGGACGGTTTGACTTTAAGAAGTCCTTATCAACCGCCACCGGTGAGTCATTTAATTGTAAGACCATTAAAACTGGGCACAACTGGCGAAAATGGTGTTCACAAGTTATATTTTATTACTGATTGAAAGCTGACATATTGTGGTGTTTATCCATATGAAACTCATACGAAACATGACATGGTGTGACCACCATCGTCCTTTAAAAGCTCTAGAAGGGAAATATCCACTGCTACAAAAGGTTGTGATATAGGTATTCATGAATGACTTCTTTCGCAGTATTGAAGTCGATAACAGTATCCATTACATACATTCTATTGACAGGAAGTAGCAGTGGAGCATTTTGGTAAGGTGAACGGATTAAAAGCAGCAGCGAGAAGAGCATATCAAGAGCAACTTCATTTCCATAAACGAGAAGCAGATGAAACGATTAAATTCCTTCAAAAAAGAATTATGTAAGTATTAGTGCGCCCTCAAACAGGACTTAATTGTGAGGATCCCCAGTAATAATGAAATTCATCAAAATCGAGTTGGATCAGTTTTTTGGTTACTAAGTGGAGGAGAGGTTTTCAGTGATGAATAAACATCGTATGTGGCTGTAGATAACTCTTGAAGTCAAAACCTAAAATGTTGTTACATTTGATTTTTTATCTCATAGTCCTGCCAGTACAATTGATGTTAATACAATTGTGTTTTTGATTCACAGTGCGTTAGATTACACAACAGCATCATTAAACATGTTTGCATATCATAATTGCTCTATTAAAAGTGCATCTCAAATAGAATCACATGTTTACAAAAAATGTTTTATACTGAATCATTATAATATTACACTGTAGCCTCGTTATAACAAACTCTTTGGGGGACATACAATTAGTTTGTTATAGTGAAATGTTCACTATAATGAAGCACATAATACATTGGGTTTGTTGTGAGCGGGAGACACGCTATGTGTTCATTATATCGGGAAATTCATTATAACGGTGTTCATTATATTGAGGTTACAGTGTACTTATTTTGACCATAAAAACACCTCTATAGTTCATATAAGGGTATCTGCTACTCAGAGAGCTAATATCGTATATATATGTCCCGGTTGGCCGTAGTGCAAAAAATAAATAAAAGTGGAATACTGTAAAATACTTAATTTTAGCTGGAATACTTTGCCAGATATTTTCAGTAACTGTTCCTAATTTCCTATAAATCATGTTGCTACAAATTAGCTGCTAATTTAAACAAAGTCCTTTGCAGGAAAAACTTTGCAGTATTAAACCTGTCAGCAAATTGTCTGCAACTTGACCATAACACTTTGCGGAAAGGCCTAAATTTTTAAAATATATTTTTTGTGCCAGGCGACAGTTCTGATCATTGAGTGTCACTGTTGTCTCTCCTGACATTATTTTTTTGTATGTGCAAATTGCAAGTGCTAGTGCTGACACATAGTGCATTTTGCCACAGAAGTCATATTCATGTTTGGGACTACATGACAGGGCTGTGCGGCCATCTCTCTGTCAAATGGCAATTTTAATGCACTATCCTGGCGTCAATCAGGCTCGGTCGAACACAAGCACCTGTGGACCTTAACCAAGGTTCCCCCAAAGTCGCATTCATTAGTGAATGAATCTCGGCCAGTGGAATTGGCCTTTCCATTGAGTTTGTGGCATACTCACCCAGGATAGGGGTCGACTCTTTGATGTTTAGCCTAAGGTAGGATTTGAACTTGGGTCTATTGATCACGAGTCTGATGCGACAACCACTATGCTACCAGTGACTGGTCTAAGGCCTAAATTTTCATTGTGTTTCATCTACTTTAGTCCAACAACACTTTTTATCACAAAATTTGAACAAGTCATTAATTTTATCCATACTTGGTATACTGTAAAATGACTAATTTTCACTGGGTTTAAATTTCACTGATTTACCATTTCAGGCATATTCAGTGGGTTTTTAATTCACGGTTTTATCATTTAGATAATGTGTTCTATGCATATTTACTGGATTTTAATTTAGCACATTTTCCAGTCAGCGAAATAAGCTAAATTAAAACCCAGTGAATAATTAACCCCTTTACAGTACATGTATTACACATATTATTTTTTGTTTTATGGTTTGACTCAAAATGTCTAACTGGTATTGTGTATGACATTAGAACAATATTTTTGCTTGAAGGTGTGAGTTTGATTGAACATAACAGCATTATAAAAATAACATGTTAACATACTCTGCAAACATTTATTTATAATCTATCTACATCTTTCATCGTTTATAATTGCCACAGTCACTAAAAACTGTAGACTTGAGACTATTTCATTTACTGTACATTGACTTGATTATTTTGCAGGTCAATTAAAGAGCAGCACGGTGACTATGAGCAGAGAATGAAACGAGATCTAAATGCTTGTCTTAGGTGAGAAACATACTGTACGGCTTTAAATTTGCAAGGGACAAATAAGTTGTTGGTTGTATACAACTTTCTTGAAGTGGCATGTCATCAGAACAGCACAAGTGCGTTTTGTATCATCCTGTTATTATTGTTCCATTTTCTGGTTGTTTTTTTACTGATATTCCATGCACAAATATTACCGGTACTTATATAGTCATAACTGTAGTGATCATTAGCGCAAAAAACCTTCAATTATGACCAAGAATGAGTTAGTTAAGTTTGTCAATTGTTTGAAATTATAGCTTGCTTAGCTCGAAATTATCAAATAACATTCAAATTTGGTGGAAAAAATTCAATGGTTTTCAGAACTTAATTTACTTATTAAGTGTTTTTTTGAATAGGGGATATTAATTATACATTTGTCAGCATATCTCCATAAGTTACAGTGTGCCATAATTTTGTGATATCAAACCGAGTATTAACTGCATCCTACCTTAAAAGGCATCCTTGTAATAACTGCATATTAAAACATTTATGATTGTCCCTTATCGCATACTGTCATTCTATTGGTAGATACTTGGACCATGTCTCGTCTGATGATGTCTATAGAATTGATGACAGTTATTTACAAGACACTGCATTTAAGCCTTATATACCTAAACCATGGACACGGGTAAGACTATTAACTCACATATTTATTGCTCATTTATACTAATAATTTCACCTCTGTGTGTGCATATATGCATCCGTTCACACCTATATCTCAGACATATCTGGGCAGATTTCATTCAACTTCACACATACAGCACATAACATATCATGCATAATTTATGCACATGCGTTTGATTCATGTTCCAAATCCAGATATTCGAATGGTGGCCATTTTAGTGCTAAAAATCATCAAAATCAAGCATTTCTGTCATTCTGGAACCAAATCGTTCATGCATATATATTATTCATGAACATATATTACATTCAAACTTGGTATGTCCATCGAACATAATGAGTTCTTGATGCACATCATTTCTTTCACAGATGTGGATTAAAATGGCTGACTGATGGCCATTTTGTTTTTAATGAATGATGTTTTTGGAGCCATATTAATTAACATGGCTGGACTGATCATGTTCAAACTTTACACATACATCATGTAACACATTTGCACAGCCACTACTGAATATTCAGACAAAAAAAACATTGTGTGAAATGTATTACAGAAACAGTGTGTAGGCCAGTGCACATTGTTGAACTAGCAATGGTATTCTGAATAAAAAAGTAAGTGTTCAATTGTGGAAAGATGAATAATTCAACCTTTTCTATTACTGTAGAATACTTTATTTTCACTTGGAATTAATTTTCACTATTTTCGCTGAAGGAATGAGTGAAAATAAAATCCAGCGAATATAATTGTTTTCCTATATTTCACATTAAACTTGTCAAAAATCAGTGAAAATACATTCCATACAAAATACCCAAAATGTCTTTTCTGCGAAAATTAATTCCAGCTAAAAAAAAGTATTTTACAGTATGTTAATTCAATCCAAGTATGCCTTCTATGGCATAAAATAATATTTGTGTCATAATTGTTCCATCTAATTGTTGGTGCAAAATTTTTACAAAATGTTAATGTACTTGTTGATAATTTTTCAATAATTTGGGAATTTTCTATTAGCTACAGGGCTTGAACAAAATTTTTAAAAGTTTGAGAAAATATTTTTATGGGTTTTATGTTGTGAACGGTGGACAAATATTGGTTCTAAAAAAGTTGAAACATAACATGGTTACCAATGTAAGAACCACAAGCAAACATCCATTAAAATCAGACTAATAAACATAGAGAAACTATCTAAGCCTTGCCCATTATAAGAAAATCAGATTTTTGGGCGACTTATGTTTTACATCTGTGAATTAAGGTAGCGAGAAGGGAAATTTTCACTTTTTTCTTGATTTTTCAAAAATTGATAAAACGGTTACTTTAGACCTTGATACATCACCCCAGGTTTACAAAAGATCGAAATTGCGAAATAACGTTGTTCAAATTAGTGTTTTAAAACACTAGCAGAAAAGACTACAACTGCCGTTTCGTGGATATTTGCATAGTGTTTATCTTTGGAAGGAATTAAATGATAAAATCTTATCTGTATACTCTGTTGTTGACGATTCTGATATAACGGGTGAT